ACCAGCACTGCCGCAGCGAAGCGCTAGATGAAGAGGCCGACGGGGCCGACGAGGCCGACAAACTCTCCTCCTCACCAACTCCAACACCTTCTACATCAGAACACACACATACACCCGCACCATCCCCCTCTGCTTCTGGTGGCGTGTCACTGGCTTCTTCTGGCCTCTCTTGCGCTTCTGATGCTGCGTTTTCATTCTCGTCCATATCTGACTCAGACCCATCGCTGTCTGAGTCGTCGGATGCCCTACTCGACGGCATCTCATATCCCTCCTCAGCGCAGGCAGCCCGCAGGGCATGGATGAGGGGAAGGCTGCCGCAGGCGTAGACGAACATCGCCATCGAATCGCCCTGTGTGACGCCTTCACAGCTCCACAGACAGTCGGCTGAGCCTTGCAGGTGAAAGGCGGCGAACCCTCGGTAGGTTTTGAACACATAGCGAGAGCAGCAGGGCCACAGCACGCGGGTGTTCCAGATAGCAGCAGGCCGACTGATACGATTGAAGGCGTTGCTTGCGTTCACCAGCAGGAGCCCCTCGGTTTCGTCGTCCGAAGAGAGGTCATTCACCGCAAGCACAGCCCCTTCGATGCCTCCCTTCACCTCGATGCACAACTGATCAGTGCCGCAGGTCGTCTCCAGGTCAGAGCGGGTCACCAAGGCCATGCACTTGGCAGCCAGTCGAAGGAGCACCTCTCCGATGCCGATGGGGCGGACGCCAGGGCATTTGTCGAGAGCGATGAGGCGGCACGCTCGCAGGGCCTTGATGTCGTCCCATGGGACGATGGTGTTGGCCAGGGTAGAGACGAGCGAGGCCACAGCCGCGCGGAGGCGGCCGCTCTTGGCACCGTATCGGAGGAGGAAGGTCTGCCAGAAGTTCGCATCGCCACCGGTCGGTCCAGCGCTCCCACTGAGGCTCCGTGTCGTTCGCTGCACGGTCGAGTCCGTGATGTCCACGTCAATGAGGGGAGGAAGGTCGTCACACGGAAGGAGGGCTTCCTCGTGCGGCTGCTGCTGTGGTGGGTGCTTCTCGCGAAGGACATCGAGCACCGTGACTCCCGGGGGGCGCTTCTCGGCTTGAGCGGATGGGTGGAGAACCCCCCCGCCGCCCCTCTCGGTGACGAAGCGGACAGCCGCCCGGACTTTGCCCTCCAGCATGAGCTTGTTGAAGATGCGATAGACCGACGCGTCGTCCAGCTGAGGCTGAGTGGTGGGGAACTGCTGGTCCAGCCGCTCCGCCTCGCACACGAGCTCCTCCACCTGCCCCTTCTGCCAAATCTCCAGCCGCCTCCAGAGCATCCGCTTGACATCGCGCTTCCTCTTGACATCCGGATCTCGCTGGATGAGTGTGCGGACGAAGACGCCACCCCGCTCGGACGGTGCCTCGAGCTTGGAGATCTTCTCCACCTCCTCAGCGATGGCATCAGCGATGGCGCGGCCAAGGTTGCCAAGCTTGCTGAAATCCTTCACGCATCGCAGTCGAAGCTGGCACACCCGCTGGTGATACGCGTCCCACTCAGAAAAAGTCGATCCACTGGCGGAGTTGACGAGGGGCTTGCCGAAGGCCTCGCGCATCTTCTCATCACATCCTCGGCTGCATGTGGACAGCGCAGACTTCCCTTTCGCGTTGCATGCGCAACAGGGGAGCCCGCCGCCGTCTCGCGGGATGAGTGTCGCTGGAGGGGGCTGGGTGTAGTCCGACACACGCTCCCTCATCCGAAAAGGAGGAGAAACAGCCGAGAAACCACCGACTCACTCATGGTCTGCCATTGCAGGCCTGCCGTTCCTCTGCCGTCGGTGGTAAGATTGATGAGACCGGCATCCGTCAGCATCCTGAGTGAGGAGGTAGAGAAGGTTTACATGCACGTTTGGACTTGGCGTGTGTGTATATGATGAATGTCTCTGTGCGCACACCTGCGCCTGCACGCGTCGACTTGGCGTGTGTGTATTTGATATATGCAAATACTTTTCGGTGCGTATCGAGGCGCCCATGCACCAACACACACTCACTGGCTGGCTGCGCATGCATTGTGGGTGTGTTGTATTGCTGTTGTTGTGGCGTGTTGTATGCTTCGCGTCAGATTGTCCGCATCCATCTACCTCGTTTTGTTTGCGTCTGGGTGCACGCACTCTGCAATACTTTTCGGTGCGTGTCAAGACAGACACCACCCATAGCATCAACACACACCCACTGGCTGGCTGGCTGTGCATGCGTTGTTTTGTCAGGCGTGTTCTTCCGTTTGCCGTTCGTCTGCAAGTTTTGCAGCGGCAGTTCCCTGCCTTCTCAACGCTCACGGCGCCCATTGGTTGAGCTCGCTGTGTGATCGGCACTGCATGACGGACTTTCACGCCTGAAGTTCATTCATTCAATCACTCTCGTGTCCCACACTTGAGTTGATTTGTGCCGAACCCTGACCATCGGTATCCAATGGTTTAAACCGACACAAGACCGCAAGCCACAGCCTTATCAAAAGACACAACGGCAGCCCCGTCTCCCGCCGCGCAAACACAAACTAGCGCCCCGCACTAGTCCAACAGACAGACGGGCATGCAGGCAACCCTGCACACGGGCTCGGCCACCCCTGTCTTGTCAGCAATAGGTCGGTCAGGCGGGTGAGGAAGTGTTCGGCCTCCGCCCCCACACACAATCCACCGTGACGGCCAAGGGAGTGAAGGTGATGGACAGATCCTCACACACACGGGCGTGCTTGCGTTTCTTGGTCTTCTCGAGCGACGCCAGGATCGATCGCGTTGGGCTGTTACAGCGCTCTCTGTAACACGGTCGGGAACTTTGCTGGCTGCATCCAGCTATAGCAGGCATCACAGTGTGTGCTCGACTGTCTGATGGACTCATAGGGCAACGGAAGCGATTCATTGGTGCATGCATTCATGTTACTTCCTTACTTGTGAAAGCAGTCAAGCGTGGTCTCGAGTGCGTTGCCGTTCAGAGATGGAAAGATTGAATTCGTCATTCCGAGACTACTTCAAACGAATAACACATTTGTCGCATCGATAGTCTTTGCACCTTCCCTCGTTTGCCCAGTCTCGCACCTCTGTCCCCTTCAACGACGAAAAATAAGCAACAAAAACACGGCTTGATAGCCACAAGGAAGCAACAAAAAAGATACGACGATCCTGAACTCAAAATAAGACAGGACGCGCCTGCACATAAACGAGAGAATCAGAGAAAGCTCGTCTCCTGTCTGGCAGTTTCGATGCCTCCCGAAAAACTGACTGATCTGCTATGAAGAAGAACTGACCTGCCCTTTTCCGCCAAGACATGAAAAACATACATACATCCATGCGTACACAGAGGCACACCGACAGGCATACCCACAGGCATCATCTCTCATTGAAGAAATGCTGATCGCAGAAAAAGACACCCGACAAGGCGGTAGACAGCCGAGCAGAAAAATACTCAGTACTAAGAGGTACTAGGACTTGATGTGTCTCACGAGCTCTTCAAAACACACAGCCCCCTTGCAAACTAAAGTCAGCTCAAGCGGTCGTTTAGGGAATATTCTGTCTGTCCCCTTCAATTAGGCCCGTCTCGAGCTTCACTCGGCCTAGTCATGCCATGCATCCGCCACACAGCCGGAGACGACCATGGATCGGGAGGCCACTACAAAATGCACTACGAAAGGCACTACAAAATGCACAACCACTTACAAAACACACCACCAATTGAGTGTCACTTGGTCACAAACACATTCTCAACAGTGAGCCTTTGTTTGGCCTCGTAGCGTCGCCCGAGGATGTGGTGTCGACCCGTTCTGTCGCCATGATAGCTCTCCAGCCGACCGTCCTATATCGTGGTATCGACGCGTCCCAATTGCATGGTATTGTAGATGTGGGCCACGACGGGGTTGGGCTTCTCCTTTCCGTCCACAATGATGTTCTCGGTAAAGTAGTTGTGGCCGAGAAGGAAGGGATCGACTCCGACGTTGAAGTCAGCGCAATCGACTGCATACACGTTGCCTGACACTTTGGTCATGTCCTCAGGGCCCGTCGTGCCTGCACATTCGCATCAAATGCACACGTGCGGAATGTTCGAGCGCTCTCGTTGCTCGTCCATACATCCGTGCTCCCTTACCTAGTCGTCGCGACCACGAGCCTTTGCTGACGAGGTTGGCATATTTGCTACCAATGAGCGCCTTGTCGTCCCACGCATGGTACACAGACACAGTACGGGCGGCCTCAGCGATCGACGAGTGCCCCTCGAGAGCTTCGTTCACGACATCCGCCGCCACCATGAAGATCCCTCGAAAGGCGTTCGCCCCCACATCATCCTCGATCTTGGCCAGATCCATCGTGCTGAGAAGCAATCGATTGCCCATAGAGTGCGCCATCACGTACGGCCACTTGGCTTCATCCGCAGGAACGGGTTGCTGGAGCCGGCTCCACTTGAGAAACTTGCCCAACGCTACTTCGAAGGCGGCCGCAGACATGTGGGCAGCGATTTGGTCACTCCAGTAGTCACGGAGGATGCCGAAGCGATTGCCGCAAGGCCAGATGAGGAGGACGATCTGAGTGTTGTTGGGTTCGATCGAGTCGAACTGCGCTTGAAGGGCGGCAGCCTGTGTGAAGACGCCGTACTCCCAAGGGGAGGTCTCCGGCTCCGAGTTGAAGCCGTGGATATAGAACAAGACGTGCTTGGCCTTGCTGTTCCACAGATCGTCTGCATGCATGAAGGGAAAGGGGTCGACACAGAGATGTGGGAATCTATCGCATGACATTGTGGATGGCTTACCGATGAAGGTGGAGGCGCTGATCACTTCGTGGCCATCAGGGTGGTCGGGGTCGAAGCGGCAATAGCGCACAATCGCGCGAGGCTGGTTGTTTGCCTCATCGAATTTGACCCGACCGAGGGAGAGGGCATCCATCTCTTCCTTGGCCCCCTTCGGGTCAAACTGGCGGTCCTTGTTCATCATATGGTTCGTGATGAACAGCATTCCTCTGCAGCACGCATACCCACAACACACGGCATAGACTCATCACTCATGTACCGTGCCTCATCGGGTGCAATGGCTTACTTATGAGGCCTCACAGTGTCGAGGTTCCCTGCAATGGCCGCCATCGTGCTCAGCACAACGCAGAGGACGACGGCCGACTGAAGAGCTCGATATCCTTACATGGTGACTGACGGCTTCGCAAGAGGTGGATCCGCTGGATCAGCAGCAGGTGGAGTGATGGGAGATTTGAGCCCGTTGAGGTAGTCGGCCTGTCTGGGACACGCGTGGGACTGTGGGACATGGGAACAGAGGAGCGGTCGAGTGAACGATAGTCAGGGATGTGGGTGGAACAGATTGCTGATGTGATGCCGAATGTTGCATGCGAGTGGGGCCAGTTGCGTTTGCGTAACGACTCGGCATGTTGAGAAAAGTGCCCAGTCTAAGTGGTGGAAGCTGCGTGCGCGGCTGGGGGCCTTGGGTCAGCTCCCTTTGGAGAACCGCATCGGAATCAGCTACAGAACCAAGGGAGATGTCAGTCAAACTCGTCGGCACGAAGAGTCCATCAGCATGCATACAATAACTAGACCAAGTGTCCCTGCTATTCGATTACTGCAAACAAGCCATGACCCGACCCCTGTCCGCCCCTAAGACCCCACTGCCCTTCATCCATCCCACACGTGTAGGGTGCACATTGGTAATGCCCCGGAAAGAGTACCCGCCAGC